TTTTATTACCACAAATATTATTTCTATTGCGGGTTTATTCCCAACAATTGGTATCAGAGCACAGGTTCTGCTCATTTACATAAATAGTTTTTGCAGCTTATCGTACTATACTCAGTGAAAAAAAAATGTTTGGGGTAAAGTACGAGGTAGCAAAATTCAACGGTGATAGCGGTTTCTCAACGTGGCAGAGAAGGATGAGAGACTTGCTCATCCAACAAGGTTTGCACAAGGCACTAGGCGGCAAATCCAAAAAGCCTGAATCCATGAAACTTGGGGATTGGGAAGAAATGGATGAAAAGGCTGCTAGTGCAATCAGGTTACACTTAAGAGATGATGTGGTTAATAACATCATCGATGAAGAGAGTGCATGTAGGCATTTGGACAAAGTTAGAAAAATCTATACATGTCCAAAATGCTGACAAATAAATTTTACCTAAAGAAGTAGCTATACGCCCTACATATGGGTGAAGGTACAAATTTTTTGTCCCATTTAAATGTGCTTAATGGACTAATCACGCAACTAGCAAACCTCGGAGTAAAGATCGAGAAGGAAGATAAAGCCATAGTGCTCTTAAACTCGTTGCCATATTCCTAAGATAATTTGGCAACAACCATTTTACATGGTAAGGACTCTATTGAGTTGAAGGATGTCACATCAGCTCTTCTGCTCAATGAGAAGATGAGAAAAAAACATGAGAATCACGGGCATGCTCTCATCACTGAAAGTAGAGGCAGAAGTTACCAAAGGAACTCAAGTAACTATGGTAGATCTAGAGCTCGTGGAAAGTCCAAGGTCTGATCAAAATCAAAGGCCAGAAATTGCTACAATTGCGATCAACCAGGTCACTTCAAAAGATATCGTCCAAATCTAAAAAGGGGGAAAGGAGAAAGCAGCGGCCAGAAGAATGATGACAACACAACTGCAATGGTGCAAAATAATGACAATGTTGTTCTCCTCATAAACGAGGAAGAGGAATGCATGCACTTGGCAGGTGTAGAGTCGGAATGGGTGGTCGACACAGCAGCATCTTACCATGCCACACCGATAAGAGATCTTTTTTGCAGATATGTAGCAGGTGATTTTGGCAATGTGAAAATGGGTAACACAAGTTACTTAAAGATTGAGGGGATCGGAGACGTTTGCATAAAGACAAATGTCGGATGCACATTAGTTTTGAAAGATGTGCGCCACATACCTGATTTGCGAATGAACTTGATCTCGGGAGTTGCTTTGGACCGAGATGGATATGAGAACTACTTTGCAAATCAAAAATGGAGACTCACCAAAGGGGAATTGGTGATTGCAAAAAGAGTTGCTCGTGGCACGTTATACAGGACAAATGCAGAAATATGCCAAAGTGAATTGAATGCGGCTCACAAAGAGATTTCTGCAGATTTGTGGCATAGAAGAATGGGCCATATGAGCGAGAAAGGATTGAAAATTCTTTCCAAAAAATCACTCATCTCTGTTGACAAAGGTACAACGATAAAACCTTGTAACTACTGTTTATTTGGTAATCAACATAGAGTCTCATTTCAGACATCATCTAAAAGAAAGTTGAATATACTTGATTTGGTATATTCTAATGTTTGTGGTCCAATGGAGATAAAATCGATGGGAGGTAATAAATACTTTGTTACCTTTATTGATGATGCTTCGCGAAAATTGTGGGTTTATATCTTGAAAACCAAAGATCAGGTGTATCAAGTATTTCAAAAGTTTCGTGCTTAAAGAGAGACGGGTCGAAAGCTAAAACGTCTCCGAACTGACAATGGAGGTGAGTACACTTCAAGAGAATTTGAAGAGTACTGTTCAAACCATGGAATCAGACATGAAAAGACAGTTCCTGGAACCCCACAACACAATGGTGTAGCCGAGAGAATGAATCGCACCATGTTGAAAAGGTGAGAAGCATGCTCAGAATGGCTAAATTACCTAAGTCATTCTGGGGTGAAGCAGTTCGGAAAACATGTTATCTTATCAATCGTAGTCCATCAGTTCCATTGGAATTTGACATTCCGGAGAGAGTTTGGACCAACAAGGAGATGTCTTACTCGCACCTAAAGGTATTCGGTTGCAAAGCTTTTGTACATGTACCGAAGGAGCAGAGAACCAAGCTAGATGATAAATCAGTTCCATGCATATTCATCGGATATGAAGATGAAGAATTCGGGTACAGATTGTGGGATCCTGTAAAGAAGAATGTCATCAGAAGCAGATATGTAATCTTTCGAGAAAGTGAAGTTGGAACTGTCGATGCTTTATCTGAGATGGCTAAGGAAAAGAATGGTATAGTCCCTAATCTTGTTACCATTCCTTCTACTTCTAGCCATCCCATAAGTGCAGAAAGTACGATCGATGAAGTTGCTGAACAGGAAGAACAACCTAATAAGATTGTTGAGTAGGGGGAGCAACTTGGTGATAATACTGAGCAAGTGGAGTGCCGAGAAGAAGAAGAACAATCTCAACCTCTGAGGAAATCAGAAAGACAAAGGGTAGAGTCATCCAAGTACCCTTCCTTAGAGTATGTCCTCATCAATGATGAAGGGGAGCCAGAAAGTCTTAAAGAGATGTTGTCTCGTCCAGAAGAGAGCCAATGGATGAAAGCCTTGCAAGAAGAGATGGAATCTCTACAGAAAAATGGCACATACCAGCTAGTTGAACTTCCAAAAGGCAAAAGACCGCTAAAGTGCAAGTGGGTCTTTAAACTTAAGAAAGATGGAAATGGCAAGTTGATCAGGTACAAATCTCAATTGGTTGTAAAAGGCTTCGAACAAAAGAAAGATGTTGATTTTGATGAAATTTTTTCACCTATTGTCAAAATGACTTCTATTCGAACTATTTTGAGCCTAGCAGCTAGCCTAGATCTTGAAGTGGAGCAATTGGACGTGAAAACTGCATTTCTTCACGGAGATTTGGAAGAAGATATTTATATGGAGCAACCAGAGGGATTTGAAGTATCTGGAAAGAAACACATGGTGTGCAAATTGAATAAGAGTCTTTATGGGTTGAAACAAGCACCAAGGCAATGGTACAAAAAGTTTGACTCTTTCATGAAAAGTCAAACGTACACAAAGACCTATTCTAATCCATGTGTATACTTCAAAAGATTTTCTGACAACAATTTTATTATTTTATTGTTGTATGTGGATGACATGTTAATTGTAGGACAAGACAAAGATTTGATTGCAAGGTTGAAGAGGGATTTGTCCAAGTCATTTGACATGAAGGACTCGGGCCCGGCACAACAAATTCTAGGGATGAAAATTGTTCGAGAACGAACAAAAAAAGTTATGGCTATCTCAAGAGAAGTACATTGAACGTGTACTAGAACGCTTCAACATGAAGAGTGATAAACCTATTAGCGCGCCTCTTGCGAGTCATCTGAAGTTGAGCAAACAGATGTGTCCTACAACAAAAGAGGAGAAAGAGGGAATGACCAAAGTTCCTTATTCTTCAGCAGTTGGGAGTTTGATGTATGCAATGGTGTGTACAAAACCTGATATTGCTCATGTAGTTGGTGTTGTTAGCAGATTCCTTGAAAATCCTAGAAAAGAACACTGGGAGGTAGTTAAGTGGATACTTAGGTACCTAAGAGGTACCACAAGAGACTGCTTGTGTTTTGAAGGATCTGATCTAATCTTGAAGGGCTATACAGATGTTGATACGGCAGGTGACCTCGATAACAGAAAATCCACTACTGGATATTTGTTTACATTTTCAGGGGGAGCTATATCATGGCAGTCAAAGTTGCAGAAGTGTGTTGCACTCTCTACAACGGAGGCAAAGTATATTGCAGCTACTGAAGCTGGCAAAGAGATGGTATGGCTGAAACGATTTCTTCAGGAACTTGGATTGCATCAGAAGGAGTATGTCGTCTATTGCGACAGTCAAAATGCAATAGACTTGAGCAAGAACACCATGTATCATGCAAGGACGAAGCATATCAACGTAAGATATTACTAGATTCGTGAAAAGATAGAGGATGGATCTATGCATGTCATGAAGATCCCTACTAGTGAAAATCCTTCGGATATGCTGACCAAGGTGGTATCAAGAGACAAGTTCGAGCTATGCAAAGAACTTGTCGGCATGCACTCAAGCTAGAAACTTAGAGCTACCTCTTTCAGGTGAATGGGTCTGGAGGGGGAGATTGTAGGGTCCATCCCCATTTGCCAAATCTCACAATGTCAAAAGGTTGGCAGATTTGGAAGATATTGGATATACATGTGCAGATTTTTCAAAGGTTGGTAAGCTGCAAAGAAGAAAAAATTGTTTTTCTTCTGTAGCATAGTTGGAAAAATACTGCACTTGTTATCTATAAAAGGGAGAGTCTTCTTCATTCTCAAAATGCACCGAAAAAAAAGGAGAGAAAAGAAGAGTGAGGCATCACAAAGGAAATTAGTTTGTGAGGAAAAAATAGAGAGTCTGAGCGATATTGTAGTGAGGTGGAAAAATCAAAAGAGGGTTATTTCTTTTGAAGTGTGTAGTGATCTTTGGAGTTTTTACTCAGACCTACAAGTGTAAAAATCCTTACTATAGTGATATCAGTTACTCCTCTCGGGCCGTGGTTTTTCCCTTATTCAGGAGGGTTTCCACGTAAAATCTTGGTGTCATTATTGTTCTTTTTATTCTTGTTGATTAACCGCATTGTTGTGTTATTCCGCTTTTATTGCTTTTATTAGCGCAAATATTATTTCTGTTGCGGGTTTATTCCCAACAGTAGTTGTAGTTGTTGTGAATATCATTAAATAATAAAAGTGTGCTTCTCTCTAATAGCTTAAGCTTTTTAGATGAGATGGTCACACATTTCAACAATATATCGCTATATATGTTTTGGACCATTACTTTGACTTGTAAAGGTAAAAGAAAAAAGTCTAAGTGGATTTTTAATGGTAAGAAAATTCAAATTTGCTCAGTATTTTCCACACGATAGTTAACTGGTCCTCTCAAGAAATCTTGATGTACCTTGACTCCTGTTTGGCCAAATATCCCATAATTGCTTATTTTAAACACTTTTGTAATAGCTTTTCAAAAAGTACATTAAAATGTTAGTCTGATAACAAAGAGCTGCTTATGCAACGTTTGTAATCTCAAAGGTAGCAATATATGTAACACAAAACTACAAGGAGGTCGATAACTCCAATAAGCATAAGATCTAATAAAAGATTGTCGCAAAACAGATAAGAAACTTAACAACAAAGTTTTCAAAGATGAAATTAAAATGAGTACAGTCTAATTATGAAACTGTATTTGGTAACATCATGACACCAACTGATACCCGAGCCTATGTATGGCAACAAAATACGCTCCTCCTAAGACAAAAGGAATCACTCAATCTGCATAAAAAATTCAAAAAGTAAAAATTATCAGAGAAACTTTCATACTAGTCTAAACGTATAATGAGTTTGTTCTTAGTGTTGCCATGAAAGTAATGTACCTTTTGTCGTTTTTCTTGTGGAACATCATTATGTTGAGCAGAAGTCTCAACATCTTCATCAGTAAGCTGCAACAAAAACATGTCGAGAACTCAGAACAAGCATAATGGGGTAAATTTAAACCTGAGGGATAAAAATAAATAGTGATGGGATAAATTTTTGTATCTTGTTTGGTTGTCATGTTTGGGATAATTTATCCCATATACATGGTGGGATAAGTTATCCCATGATAGCTAACCCCAAGATAACTAATCCTAGAATAACTTGTTCCCAACCAAACGACCCCTAAGTTTTGTTATAATACCTTTTCTTGTTTTTCTTTTGATGGACTTTGCACAACATCACTTTGTTGAGGAGAAATCCTAGCATCTTCCTTGGTAGGCTGCACACACATTGATTCTCAGAAGAAGAAAAAAAGCTAAGGGTGATGTGTGAAATTTAAAGTCTATTCATATTGCACTTACTTCTTTGTCAATCATTGTTTTCTCAATGGAGCGGTGTTGATCCTCTCCCTTTTTCTCCTCACTGTCTACATCTGATTTTTGTTTCTGCATCATCTTCTTTCGGTTCTCCATTTCTTTCCTTCTCATTTCAGTTTCATGCCAAAGATACTGCGGAATTACAAAAAATTAAAACATTCCTTCAATAATACTAATAACTCCAAAGTTGGAAACAAAGTATTAGAATGAGCACAAAAGAGTTCAATTAATTGGGAGCAGAACCACTACGTGAAGCTTTTTTCCTTATAATAAGCATTAAACATAACATATCATGTAAGAAATCTTTTATTAATTAATTTTAGAAACATGGAAAAATAATAAATGAACGTTTTCGAAAAAATTACAATAGAATAACAATTTTATTTCCCTAGTACATATTAGGGATCAAAAAGGATTATTTGTTTTTCCAATCATGGTTTCGTTTGTCTATGCCAATTAACTTAGATTGAGCATTAAAGTCATACAAATTTGGAACTACCCTACATTGATACATGAGATATCAATTCAAAATCTAGTGAACATAACAAAAATTGATTCTACTACAAAGGCAAGGAGTGTGTTTTCATACATATATCAGTAGATGTTATTCTCTAATATCCAAATGAGAGATAAAATAAAATAAATGAAAAATAAACACTTATTAGGTCAAAGGGCAAAAGAACAAGCTAATAAAATGTAAAAAATTTGAATGACAAAATTAGATTAATTAGGTTTTGAAAGAATCTAACTCACCATCACATACTCACTGTCCTTCATCGTAAGAGAAAAAAAAGGATTGAAATTAGTGTTTCTCTCTCGTGTTTATGTCGTCTCCTCTTGATTGTTGAACTATTCCCTGCTCAACATAAATTAAATGAAGAAACAAATCAGCTCAGGAAAATAAAAACATGGCTAACTGAATACTAGAAAATTCAAAAAAAAATCGATTCGAAAAAACTTTATGCTATAACCAAACTTGAACGAAGTTTAGAAAAAAAAAAGGCATTACTTAAATCAATGAAACAACATACACACACAAAGGAATCTAGATAGAAAAAAATAAAGAAATAAAGATAGAAAGAAATGGCTGCAAATATAAACAGCAATGAAAGCTCACCTTTTTTTTTGTAATTTGACAGAAGGATATTGTTTACAAAAGAAATTATTCTTTATATATATA